TCAACAGTTTTATTGAGATATAATTTACATACCATAAAGTCCATTCTTTCTTTTTATTATTTTAAATTTTATTTTATATTTTTATTGATTTCAGAGAGGAAGGGAGAGGGAGAGATAGAAACATCAATGATGAGAGAGAATCATTAATTGGCTGCCTCCTGCACGTCCCCCACTGGGGATCAAGCCTGCAACCCGGGCATGTGCCCTTGACGGAATCAAACCCAGGACCAATCCACAGGTCGACGCTCTATCCACTGAGCCAAACCAGCTAGGGCTAAAGTCCATCCTTTTAAAGTTCAATTCAATGGGTTTTTAGTATATTCACAAAGTTGTACAATCATCACCACTATCTAATTCTGGAATATATTCATCACCATCCCCCATCCCCGAAAAGAAACTTCCCACTAATTAGCAATCACTTCTCATTCTCCTCTCCCCCTACCTTGTATCAGTCACTAATGTACTTTCTGTCTCTATTGATTTGCCTATTTGAGGGATTTCATATAAATGGAACCATATAATATGTGCTATTTTATTTTATTTTTTTAAATATATTTTATTGATTTTTTTTAGAGAGGAAGGGAAGGGATAGAGAGTTAGAAACATCAATGAGAGAGAAACATCGACCAGCTGCCTCCTGCACACCTCCCACTGGGGATGTGCCCGCAACCAAGGTACATGCCCTTGACTGGAATCGAACCTGGGACCTTTCAGCCTGCAGGCTGACGCTCTATCCACTGAGCCAAACCGGTTAGGGCTGTGCTATTTTATTTTATGTCTGGCTTCTTTCGTTCAACATCATGTTGTTAAGATTCATCCATGTGCAGCCTGTATCACTTTTCTTTTTAATTGATTTTAGAGAGAAAGGAAGGGAGAGGGAAAGGAAGAAGGAGAGGAAGAGGGAGAGGGAGAGACAGGGAGAGGGACAGGGAGAGGGAAAGGGACAGGGAGAGGGAGAGAGACAGGGTCAGGGAGAGGGACAGGGATAGGGAGAGGAACAGGGAGAGGAGAGGGAGAAAGAAACATCGATCAGTTGCCTCCCATACACACCTGCAACCTGACAGGGAATCTTTTGGTGCACAGGACAATGCTCAACCAACTGAGCCATACCAGCCAGGGCAGCCTGTATCATTTTTAATTCATTTTTATTTTTTATCCTCACTCGAGGACATGTTCATTGACTTTAGAGAGAGAGAATAAGAGTTTTCCAAATTGAAGTTGGGAACTGATAGTGAACTCAACTTTATAAAATCTAATAAACAATAAAATAAACATAATTTAAAAATGAAAATGAATGCATACTCATTTGTCTGCATGGTCTGACGGAGTGTTTACTTTTGGACCCTTCGAAGCCCACCCTGAACCACACCTGGCTCACCCAGGCCAACTCCTGGGTTCAGGACATTGTTCACGTCCACCACAACGACAGAGCTGTAACAGCATGTCAGCCTCTCTGTTCTTCAGGAGGACGGAGAATCGGAGAATTCGGGCCCCCTGCACTCCTAGTTGATGCCCATGCGGATAACAGAAGGTCAAGGCCAGACCTGACTGAGGACCTTCCCCAGGACCTGCTTTCTCTCATTCAGGCTGGGCTCGTTCTGGCCGCTCTTCTCCCCATGTGGCCGGCACATGGCGCTGGCGGGTTGCCACAGAGAGTGAGGAGGACAACGTTCTCATCTGAAAATAAATCATGACCCTGAATGGGTAAACAAGAAACTAGGGCGGAAGAGGGGGAGCGGGGGGGGGGGGCTGAGGGGAAAGAGAATTGTGTCTTTCCTGGGAAGATGAATGCAGCCTTCAGAGGCTGGTCTCCCCGTGCTGGGCCCACAGCCACATGGTCTATCTCTGCTGTGCCCCCAGCTGTTCCTAAGCGCCGGTACCCGCTGTACCTTTGCCGCGGAGTCCTGACTCCTGGGCCTGACACCTCTCCCAATGTGGACCCCATTGTCACTCAGAAAAGTCTCTTCTTTGCCCTTTTAATGTGGATCTTGCTTTTTGTAGAACCAGCGTGACCTCTAACTGTTTGCTGAGTGCAAGACGCTCTCCACCTGTGGCCCATCTTACAGAGGGAAGGGGCGAGGGCAGGAGTGGAACTCAGTCGCAGGTCCAGAGGTGCTCCCCAGGCCTGATGGATGGTGATGTGAAGCCGGAGGCGTTTGAAGGGGTGAATGTCTTGGTCAAAAGCAAGGTGTGTATAGCTCAGGGGTGAAGACTTGATTTTGGGTCTGTTCCTGCTCCTTCTGGGAACAGCATCTTGGTGTGTACAGGGCTGACCCTTTCCCCTCTCAGGGAGGGTCACCCAGTGAATGAATGAGGGAACCAACAGATAGATGGGTGGAGGCTACTGAGAAACGCAGGGAGACACTGCAGGGACTCATGGCAGCCTGTGAGCCGGGCCCTGGGAGGAAATAATGGGAAGAGATAGTCTTCATTCAAATCTGATGCTTTTTTTTTTCTTTTTTCTTTTTTCTCCTAAGACCACAGCTGCTTCTGAAACAAAGACCGACAATTGCCACCAGCATGTGCTTCATTTTTACTTCCCTTGAATATTCTTCAATGGATTTTCTTTTTAAACGGCACTGGCGAGCTGTCGCTGTGTAATGAGGCACATGGCTGGGGAGGAGCAGGGAGAGCACCCCCTTTTCCCAGGCAGACATTTTGGAGTAGACCTGCCTCCTCTTTGCTCAAATACAGCTGAAAGTCCCTGTGTCTGGGCATCTGTCTACATTTTACAAGATTTCTACAAAAACCACACCCTACTTTGCTTTTATCCTCCAGGATCAAACTCCTTTTTCCAAAGCTCCATCATATTTCACATCCGAAGTCCCCTCACATTTTCCCTTCCTCCCCTCTATTTGCTTTGTCCCCGGGGTTCACCAGCACAGCAAGGCTCCTGACACATCTGTGGACATCAGGACTCATACCCTGGGTTGACCCCCGTGGTTTGTCTCATGGAGCCGAGGGGCACCAGTGTTTAAAGGCACCGGCCCAGCTAGGGTGACAAAAAGGCTGGAGCCCGGTGCAAGCTCTGTAGAAAGTAGCTTGGTGATCTTCAACAGGTAAAACACAGAGTTACCATATGATTCAGTAATTCCACTCTTAGGTATAGACCCAGGAGGATTTATAACAGGGGAGAAAACCAAAACTTGTGCACCATAATTAGAGCAACTCTATCCATAATCACCAAAAGGTAAAAACAACCCAAATGCCCATCAACAGATGAATGAATGAACAAAATGTGGTCCACCCACACAGTGGAATATTACTCAGCCATAAAAAGGACTGGAGCACTGAAACATGCTACAACATGATGGACCTCGAAACATCATGCCAAGTAAAAGAAGCCAGACACAAAAGACCACATGTCTTCTGATCCCATTTATATAAAATGCCCAGAACAGGCAAATCCATAGAGACAGAAAGGGGAGTAGTGTTTGTCAGGGGCTGGGGCGAGAGGATGGGAAGTGACTGCTTATGGGAGCGAAGTCTCTTTTTTGGGTGATGGAATGTTCTGGAAGTAGGTAGAGGAACTGGTTGTACAACATTGTGAATGTGTTAAATGCCACTGAATTGTTCACTTTAAAAAATGGGGAATTCGCCCTGGATCGTGTGCTCAGTGGTTGGAGCGTCTGACCTCCCACTGAAGGGTCTCGGGTTCGATTCCTGGTCAAGGGCATGTATCTGGGTTGCAGTTTTGCTCCCTGCCCTGTCAGGGCATGTGTGGGAGGCAACCAGTCAGTGTGTGTGTGTGTGTGTGTCTCTCTCTCCCTTCCTCCTTCCACTCTCTGAAAAGCAATGGAAAAAGGGTCATCAGGTTAGGATACAAAAAGAAAAAAAAAAAAGGTGAATCTTGTTATGTGCGTTTCACATCAGAGAGAAACTAAAAGGCTGGAGTGGTCCTCATGGAAGCCAGCAAGCACAGGTGTTAGCAATTCTGACACTTCTCCGGGCTCTTGTCAGTGCGGGGATGCTACTTGGGTATTTATTGTTTCCCTGCGGGGCTTTCCTCTGAATCCCTTTCACATACACTCTTCTCAGCTGACACTCTGGACAGGAAGAACATCCTCATGCTACAAATAAGGAAACTGAGGCTCTAAGAGGTGAAATGAATTTGCAAGGTCATCCATGGCGGCCTTCCATTGTGTCATGGGGTTTAGGTAAGGACTTGAGAACTTTATTTTTAGGAAGACAATTGGGCTGATAGAAAACCTCAGTGACAGCTTCCCAGTGACACAGAATGGTGGAAATGGAACACCTGACACCTGTGAGCTTCATGGAGTGCTGGCACTGATTCTCAAAATCCTGGCAGTAGATACTACTATTCTCCCATTTACAAGTGAGGAAACTGAGGCTTACAGAGGTGGATCACTTGCTCTAGGTCACACAGCACAGTGAGCACATGTAAAGGCTGAGGACTCAAACCCTCAAATTCTGTTTTGCTCTGAGCTTTCTCTGGGTAAAAGCAAGTCATCAAAGCATAAATGCTGAAATCTCCAAGTGGAACCTCACTCCTGGACCAGGAATTCCAGGAACTGTGAGACTGTGCTCCCAAGACAACCTGGGAAATCTCTGGAGAAAAATCAAGCAAAGGGTCAACTTGTGAGGTCCCCCTCCTGGGGTCGAAGGGAAGTGGTTGGTGCCAGATTCATCATGGAGCCACAATTCTTTTTTATTTTTATTTATTTATTTATTTATTTGGCCTTTGAAATTGTCTTTATTTCTGATCATTCCTTTACAATCATCTACCTCAGGATTAACTCCCACACATGCAGCTGGAGCCCAAATCCCCCTCCCCCGTCCCCATGCAAATCAGATTCATATTTCTGATTCTAGGACACTTGCCCCTTGAGGTCCCATGAATGCCCCAACCTTGGCCCCTGCAATTCTGTTCCCGGGCTTGGTCCCTCCCTTTCCCCATTCAAGCTGAGCATGAACCTGAAACGCGGGTGCCCCCTGCATAACGCACCCCGGTCCGAGGTTTCAGTTCATATTTGCCCAGAAAGAAGCCTTTGCTGGGTGCACCCACTGAGCAGGGTCACTACAGGGGCACCTCACAGGCTCCATGTCATGAAAATGCCACGTCATAAAACTCACTGCAGTGCTTGGAGGCAAGCAGGGTGCTCCTGGGCTGTCCTAACTCCCTCAGTGTCGGCTTGAGCTCAGCCCGGATCAGGGCAAGTCTCTCCTGGTTGACAGTCCCTTGGGTCCTGTAACACTCCAGGGGGACGGGGTAGAGCTCGATCTCTAAACTGCGCAGCCTGGTTGTGTGGCGCAGCAGCTTCTCCACGGTGGCCACGGAGAAGTTGTTCTCAGACATGGTGAAGTCCCTGAGCTGGTGACAGCGGCTCAGGACAGGCAGGATGGCCTCGACTTGGGAGTCCCCCATCCCACAGTGATCCAGGCCCAGGTCCTGGAGGGTGGGTGCCACTGCCTCCAGCAGAGCTCGGAGGGGCTCAAGACTAAAATCCGCAAGCCTGAGGTCAAACAGATGCAGGGACGTCAGCTGCCTGAGGTTCGGGCACTGGAGCAGGTGTGTCAGGTCCGAATGCGTCAGCCGCTGGCAATTTCTTATGGAGAGTTTGTCCAAGGGGGTCTGCAGGCACCTGAGCATCTGGTCCAGACGGCCTCGGAGGAAGGAGGGAGAATCCATGTTGAGGTCCCGAAGGTGCCGCAGCCTGAGCATCTGAGAGAGGAATTGGGAAAAGGATCGCTGCTCCTCCTGCTGTTTCCTATCCCAATCTTCTTCCTCCTCCCACTCCTGCTCCTCTTCCTCCTGTTCTTCCTCCTCTTCCTCTTCCTCTTCCTCCTCCTCCCCATTCTCCTCTGTCAACACGTGAATGTGGGAGAGAGAGAGTCTCTGCAGGTTACTCATCTCTCCCAGGTAAAGAGCAAACGTCCCCAGGGTGGGCAGGTCCCAGGTGCAGTTCACTTCACTTCCTGGAATGCAGTCCAGCTGCACCCCATCCAGGACCCTCCTGACCCTCTGGAAGGGCACCTCAGAAATCCTCAGCGTCTTGCAGCACAGGTGTAGCAAACCTTCCCTCTGCTGGGCCCATTGGATGATGTACTTGAGAAACTCATCCCCATCCCTTCCATTGAAGTTAAGGTCTAGGAACACCTCCAAGGGAGCCAAGGGGTGCTGCATGTTGGGGCTGGAGCTGTGCACAGCCACTGGTCCTGTCTGTGAGCACTTCTGGGTGCTGTCTCCACACCACATCCTCCAGAAGTTGGCTCCCGTGTTCCTTAAATCCAGCACCCGCAGTTTCCACCTCCTGGGCCGAACCTCCTGGGCAAGCAGAACGTCCAGCCCATCCAACACGGCTTTGAAGACCTCATCCAGGGACAAATGTGACAGGCAGCCCAGAGGGAGGACAGTGAAGGGCCAGGTGTGCACCATGGCCTTCAGGGGCTCCGGGATTCTCCTACGGTAGGCCTGAATGAAGAACTGCGGGAAGAGCTCTGCGGGCAGGTACTCCAGAGCTGTGATGGCTGAGGCCTGGTCCCTCAGCAGGCTCCTTCCTGCCAGCCGCAGGAGTGTGGGTGGGGTCCAGATGATCATCTTCAAGGCTCAGAAAGGAATCCTGCAGAAATGTCTGCTGTGACTGGGTTGGCTGGGGCTCAGATCTCAGACCTGGTGGAGAAAGAACCGCCGCACTGACTGCAGAGCTGGAGGACTCTGAATCTCTCCTCTGGTGCCTGAGGTTTTTATACACCTTCTCAAATGATAACATCCAATCAGAAACCTCAGTCTCCATCCCTTAATCTTATTGGGATTATTTCCTCTCTCCAGATTAATGGATTGAGAGAAAGGTAGGGAGGGACAAGGTTGAGGCCTGGCTCATTGATTCCTTTCATAGACACTGAGGTTGACTGATGGCCCCCTATTGCTTTCCTCAGTGTGAGACAGTGGAGGTGTAATGGTTTCCTGATGTTAAATAGGAAAAAGCACAACCTGAGAGCGTGGTTGCTGAGGGTCTTTGGCCACATTAGACTAATCCAAATGTACCCACAGTTAAAACAGCCAACGCCCCACAGCTGACACCCTTTGGTGTCATCCCCAAAGAAAACAAATGAAATGTGTCTATGCATCAAGTAAGGTTTTATGTCAGGAGACATAGCAGATCATGATCTCCACAGGGATCAAGGAGTGGGCAATTGAGCATGTGGGTGGCCCTTCAGACCCTAAGGCTTCTCTGAGGGAGGTCAGGTAAAAATCACCATGAGAAGCAGGGTCAGGGCTGGGCAGGCTGGGGGTGGGCCATCCTCGTGGAACCCTATTTATGACCCAGGGCCAAGTAAAGATGGGTGTTTTTTCTTGGAAAGAAGAGAGATGGAAAGACTCTTCTCTGGGTGAATTTAGGATTTAAAAGGAGACAAGCTGGAGTAGAGACAGTGCCATCCTAGAGGGCAAAGGGAGAGATTCCAACTTCTATCCCTCCCAGGAGGAAAGGGTGGGTCTCCTCTGGGAAAGATGGGATTAGCTCAGCACCTGGGTGGAGAAGATTAAATCTAAGAATGTGATTAGAGGGAAAGAGGCCAGACCTGGGAGTTAGACATTTTCAAGCCTGAAAGGCACTGAAGGCAGATGCATAGGCTCTTTAGGATCTCGGAGCCCAGGAGAGAAATCGCTGCAATTCTTTTTAAAAATAAAGTTGTATTGATTTTTACGGAGAGAAGTAGAGAGCCAGAAACATCGATGAAAGAGAAACATGCCCCTGACTGGAATCGAACCTGGGACCCTTGAGTCCGCAGACCGATGCTCCATCCACCGAGCCAAACTGGCCCGGGCAGAGCCGCAATTCTTTTTTTTTTTTTCTACTTTTTATTTATTTTTTATTTTTTAATTTAAT